GGTAGCACACATGTCATCCCAGCATTTGGGGAGCAGGAGAATCTCATGGAGAGTGTGAGGCCAGCCTGCACAACTCAGCCAGGTGCAACCCCAAGTGAATCATGCAGACTTCCCCACTCCTGAGATGAAAACCACAAGGCACACCAGAAACCCAGTGAGACCCAGGCTGCTCCAATGGAGCAGCTGTGACTGGAGAGAAAAGGCTAAGAAGGCGGCAGCTGCTGCTGGTTTGCAGTGAGGAACAGGGCCCAGGAATGCCCAGAGGCACTGAGGTCTAGGGGCAGAAAGACCCAGCAGCAGGCCAGCCTGTCTCAGCCTGAATTGACCATTTAAGGAGGAAGGAGCCCTGAGTCTTGGGCCCAAGCTGCTGGTGGCCCCATGACCTGGGCTGCTGTGGGCTGTTGGTTCAGGAGAAGGGCCATGTTGGGGTTCTGCTGTGATCAGAGGGTGCAGCAGAGCATCTGAAGGGCAGACAAGGAGCAAAGGAGAACAGACAAAGGTGGCAGAGATCATTTAGTGCTGATACAAAGCAGAGCTGGGAAGTGAGGTACAGGTGAAGGGGAGCAGCAGGCCGTGTCTGTAGAGCTGGGGCAGTGCAAGGGGAGACGTCCCAGAGCCCGGGGACCATCCAGGGGGTTAAGCATAATGGGGCCAGAGGGTCTCCCAGAGGAGGGGGTTCTGTTCTTCCATGAGAGACTGAAGTGCTGGGCCTAGGAGGTGAGGAAAAGGGGACAAGGGAGGGACTGTAGAGTGGTGGGAAAAGAGGGGCCATGGGTGAGGATGTGATGTAGTTGGGTCTTGCTGGTCTATGCTGGGACAGGCTAGACAGTTACAGGAATGAATCTTTTTTCTTCTGCTGATTTAAAGAATAAGAAGGTGGGGAAAGCAAGATCTCAGCATTCAGGCAGCCAAGCTTTACTAGGGGTATACTGGCTGGTTTTATGTCAACTTGACAGAAACCAGAATCATCACAGTGGAAGCAAGCCAGTATGCAGCACCCTTCTATGGCCTTTGCATCAGCTCCTGCTTCCAGGTTCCTGCACTGTTTGTGTTCCCGTCCTGACTTCCTACAATGATGAACAGCGCTATAGATGTGTAGGCAAAATGAACCATTTCCTTCCCAACTTACTTTTTTTTTTTTTTTTTTTTTTGGTTATGGTGTTTCATAGCAGCAATAATAATCCTGACTAAGACAAAGGGTGAAGCAAAAACCTGACAGACCCCACCAGGGAAGAACCAATACAAGATGGTGTGGAGTTTTGTTGTTTTGAATTTTTTTGTTTTTGTTTGGGTGGGAGGTGTAGGGCCCAGTCTACCTTGTTCTTGGGGTTCATCTTGAGGACAGTTTCCGGTCAGCCAGCTAAAACATTGTTTGTTCCTGTGCTCCCTCTGCCATACCTGGTGATTAGCTGTAGTGCATTGTTGACTCCATCTTTGGTGTGGTAATTTCCCACCTGCCTGGGTGGAAATCCTGTACAGCAGAGAGGTATATAAGGATTTCCCCAAGGTTAAATAAACGGCGTTCTGCATTCCGCTGATCTCCTTTTGAATGACCCAGGTCTCTTTGTGTGTTGTTTCAATCTACAGGCCCTTGGCCTACTCATGTACGCTACAGTGGCATGCAAACTGTAACGTAGAATTGGGTGTTACAATTGGAGGCCCAGCTGGGATGATTAGAAATTACAGTCGGAGTCCCATCAGCGAGATTGGGAAGTAGGGATCCCTGAGAGGTCGCCCTCGGAAGGCTGGCAAGCAGGTAAGAAATTAAATGATGAGGGTGTATTGGTAATGGGTGCAAGTAATTCTGTTTCAGTATTGATGGCCGATAAAGGGCCAATTGATAGTGCTTTTAGAAAAGCAAGGCAAGGAAGGCACCGGTATTAAAATAAGATAACACAAGAGTTCCTTAAGACAATTTTCTTTTATATAAGGTAGTTAATTGCCTAATTTTTTTGAGAGAGTTTAGTCCCTGGTTTCTACACACAGGAGGTTTTAATATTACTGATTGGGAGCAGGTAAAGGTAAAAGTATTAAAAGAGTGAGGGCCAGAAGAATTTCCCATAGCGATATTTTTACTATGATGCTTAGTCAGAGATGCTCTCCTCAGTGATGATATAAAGTAAAAGAGCAATTAAAAAATCCAAACTAAACCTTTGAGGAGATTCAGGATATAAAATCTGTGAGTTCTATTAAGAGTTTTGAGGAGAAGAAAGTTAAGAGTACTAAAAGAAATATAAAAGAGAAAAAACTTTAAAAAAGGAGATTACACTAATAATAAAGTTAGTAAAAAAAAAAAAAAAAAGGCAACTTTGCCAAGCCTGTCTTTTGGGAGAGAATTATTGTGGAGAGGTAAAATACAGGAGGATTGTAATGGGTTTCCTCCTAGAGTGACCTTGACATATTAACTGGTAAAGGACAGTATGCTGGTTTAGCAGCACAGATCACTTACAATCCTGCTGTTTATGCTGAGCTGCGGTAAAGCGTGGGAAGCTTTACCTAACAAAGGAACAGGAGAACAACTGTCTAAGACCCTTCAAGGGCCTTCAAAACCTTATTCTGAGTTTATTGACCGCCTGTCACATTTTGGGGATGTGAGCTCAGTCCTAAAGTGATTGTCCTATTAAAAATTTTAACAAATACTGTCAAGAGGCTCTATGCCCCCATAAAAATAAAAATTTAAATGATTTTATCCAGTTATACAAGGGACATTGATGGCACTTACCTGATGGGTCAGGTAATTGTTTCTGCCCTTAAAAAGAGTCAAGGTGGAGCTAGACCAAAAAAAATGTTTTCAATACAAATGGTCAGAACACATTAAAAAGGGGGGGGGGTTAACACAAAATCAGGTGTTACAGGGAGGTGGGGGAATGTACACATAAATGTAGGTGCTCCTGCAGGCCAGAGAGGCCACTGAATCCTAGGAACTGAAATGGCTGTGACCCTTCAGTGGGTACTGGGAACTTGATGCAGAAGCATCAAGCACTCAACCACCAAGTGATCTCTCTTGCCCCCTTTAGAAATTGCACCAATTTACTTGCC